TGAGTATGTACAAAAGAATCACTTTTCATGATCGATATATCTTAGGTTTGCAAAACGATCTGAATTTAGCTGTCCCACTGGAACTAAAGACAGAATTCGATGTACAGTATAATAAATTATTGTCATGTTGATTACCAATAATTATGTAATCACGGTTTTCGACGAATAATTCGATGTGATACACATGTCTAAAAGAAAAGAGTATGAAGACTATGGGGTATGTGTGTTATGTGCTCACGGGTCATTTTACAATAATTTTTACCGTCCACATCCAAGATTGAATGCATAATTAATATGCATCAATGTAGTCAAAATACCAGATATGGTCATATATTTATATTATATATTCAATAAGATCATTTTCTATGTAGGAAAATTTTAAATATATTCCAAAGTTTAGTATTAAAAATACCAATGACGAATTTTTCGATTAAAAGATATTATATACGTTTTATTAGGGATGAATATTGTATTAATAATATTTATATACTCTTGGGTACGTAACAAACGCAAACTCAACGTGTATGAGTATCAATAAAAATATAATAACGTTCTCAAGGAATTTAATTTTAATTTATATTTTAACTTATATAGAGATTATATATATAACATTATTGACAAACTTAAATGTTTAATATTTTCAGCAAAATATTAAAATTTAATACAATCGTAAACATACAATTTGATAAATTCAATACTCAAAGTGATGTAGCAGGAATTTAATAATTCGATAGTGTGCGGTTTATGGTCTAAAGAGATTTTTTACGATCTATAATTACTTTTATAATCATGACACCTCAAAGCGAATCAATATTTTTCAAGATGTATTCAACAGAAAATACATTAGAATACTACTTATGCGTTTCTGGCGACGACAAAATTAAATTTCACGATAGTATTTTCACCAACTTCAGATTTTTTTCTGAAAAAATAATTATCTAAACTAATTTAAGAAAAACATTCGACTTTATTAATTTTTTTTTTTTTTTTAACGGAAAACCAACGACGACACGAAGAACCGTTTTAAATATTGATAATATATTTACAATAGCCCTAATTCCTGTTTAATAAAAGAGGTATCAGTGGTGTAGTGCAGGTTTCTGATTACGACACGATACGCTTTTTCCTCTTTTAGTTGAAATTAATGAAATGAGACATTGTTAATTTTGAGGTATTTAATGACTGTTCTGTAAGATTCAGGATTATATGTTTGGAGTTTGATTATTTTGGTAGAGCTTTTACAATCAAAACCGGTAGTATCAATTAATTCGATGGTTTTTGCGCAAAAGTTGTTATAATTTATTTGATCTTGAATAAAGATAGGATGTGATTTTGAAGTTTTGTTTTTATTATTTAATTTGTTTGTGAAAGTTGAGTCCATTGGTTCATCAATGGTAGCAAACGGAGAAAAACAATTTGCGGAAATAAAAATGCTTTTGTCAGGTGTTTTTTTAGTAACAGGAGATGCGTTTTTTGGAGATCTAACGTGTTTAGATAATGGTGGGACTGTTTGCCAGCCAAATTCGATGTCAGGGAGGTTAGAGGGGGAATTACTGTCTGTTTAGTCTTTTAATAGCTGATTACTGATAATTAACGGCGGAATAGAATTCTTTGCAGGTTTATTGTTTTTAATTATTAATTGAAGTTTTCTGGTGATAGGAGTAAATGGACGAAGAGGGTTACTTATAATGATGTAGATAAAATATATTATGGGTTGGCCTTGGGGAATGTTTAAATAATTTATACATTACCGGCGGTACAGGTACCGCGACGAGTGCTGAACACGATGACGTACAATAACAACACGCTAACGAGAGCTGATAAAAGCGGAACGCGAGACAATTAACGTATGGACTGTACAACGTCTAAGCACGAACTACAACTTAATGCTATACAAAAAAGATCAGTTTAGTCTGGGTAAAGAATTAAGTAATCGCAGCGATGTGGCTGTAACAATTATAGCTGTCCACAACGAGCAATAATTAATAAAATGGGAAAATTGATCAGCCTAACACTGTCTAACTTTTAAATACTTATCTTCTACTGTACATTATATGTTGCTTTCGTATTTATACGAGGACTTTCAATGCTAAATGTAGTAGAGATATGATAACTTGTGCTCTATTATGTAATTTAAAATATTCGGCAAAATTCACTAGATAAAAAAAATAATAAATTTGCAAATCACAGTATTCTTCAAAATATATGATAAGATGTTTTTTTTAACCTTCTTACGTCCTATGTACAAAATAAATAAATTAACTATCTCTTTCTATATAATGCAATGATGTCTTATTTATTAGTGGTAATCGGATTTACTACACGGCTATAACTGAAATACGTTGGCTGACTGCAGTTTTCGCTATTCATATAATGTATAATAATATTATACTCGTAGTAACACTCGACGGTGCATACAAAGAACTGCGTGATTTAGTAATGAATAAATTCATGTATAGGGGTGCCATTTTCTGGAAATTATTTCTGGAAAACAATAGTTTCCGGCAAACGGACATACGACCGTATCGTATTCTAACGTGTATGGGTGCGGAGGTTACACTTGGAAATCGACTGCGAACAATGTCAACTATTTACACAATTCTGGACTACAGTTTTATCTCTGTCCTCTCATTGTTCCGCGTATTTTATTCATCGTATATTTTTGTATACTTTTGGCCACCGCGAGCACATCACGGGATTGTTGAATATGTTTATTTTCCTCCATTCTTTTCAATTAGAACATATAAGCGAACGTCAGTGGCGTAAATTTTTTTCGTCACAAATCCGATATTTTGATGTACATGAAGTATTATTTTGGATATTTCTTACAAAATAATTCTCAATCACATAATTCACAATAATCAACAAGGCTTTAGGTCTGGAAAATTTACCGTCACAAGTAGTTTAGAATTTACTTCTTACATTTTGAACAATCTAGAAATTGGTTCTTAAGTAGATGCTATTTTTGCAGATTTTAAGAAAGCCTTTGATACAGTTTATCACAGTCTTTTAATAGATACTTTTGAAAGTCTCGGCATTGGTAATTCTCTTTTCTCCTGGCTACAGTTTTATCGAACATCAAGAAGATAATTTATCTCCATCAACGATGCGCACTCCGATCTTGTTGCCATACCCTATGGTGCTCCCCAGGGTGGTCATCTTAGTCTTCTATTTTCATTTTATTTATGACCTTGGTAAATGATAGTTAATCTTTTGTTAAAGTTCTCTTATTCGTCGATGACATAAAACTATACATTAAAATAGATTCTCTCTCTGACTGCTGTCTCTTATAATTTGATCTTGACATATTTTCGGGTTGGGTAAGCCGTATTAATCCTACCATTAACATCAAAAATGTTACGTAATATTCTTCTCGAGAAGTATTTCACTTCTCTACCACTTTCATTACCTTAATAGTTCTCTTCTTCTGTTCTCTTCTCATGTATTTTTTATTAAAGGCCTAGTTATCTATCTCAAGCCTAAAAATTTTTTTTGATCATCACATCAATATTAAATCGGTAGATTACCCAGAATATTAAGTAATACCACGTTATATCATCAATTTCTCGTGTACCTCTTTTTTCCGCATTTATCCTTTCTTCTTAGTTCACTCAATTTTAGAATATAGCACCCATATCTGGCGCGTGACGAACTCAGAATAGAGTACAAAGATATTTCTATTATATGTCCTTTTTAAATTAAAAACTAATTATCTTATATATATGATCACTCAGTTATTTCCTCCACTTTTCAAATCTCTACTTTAACCTTTCGACGCGTTGGGAATAACTTTCATTTAATTTCTTGACTTTTTGAAGGATCTATTGATTATCCCGATTTGCTCTCTTTTATCTCATGTTTCTACCTACTCTAGTATAGATCATTATTTTTCAACAATTATTATACCATCATACTTCATATTGATTCAATTTCCAACTACTCGGAATGTTACGTAATCTCAATTCAGCTTAGACTCGGTCATTTTTTCAACAGTCAATGTTCAAGCTAATAATATTATGTATCTATTGTATTGAAAATTTTTATGTTATTTTTAGTTAAATTCATCAAATCATTGTTTTTAAAATAATTTCTGTTACAAAATAAACAAATAAACAAACAATCACACGAAACAATTTCAACCAATCTGGTACAATATTTCATGCATATGCAAGTTCCGTGGCGTTGGGAAAGTAGACAGGTTAAGAAGTAAAAAACATCCGAAAGATAATGTAGTATACGCCGACTATTTCAAAGTATACAGTTACAACGCACAAAAAAAAAAAAAAAGGAAAAACTGCAAAACGTTGAATAATATAAATGGTACTTTAGTAATTGCGTCACACGATCACTAAAGATCACATCCATCTGTATTATAAAACATATGAATATTATTTGAGCATTAATGCAAGATAGTCAAAAATAAATCGCATTATATACATGCGAGTTTGTAAATATTCAGAAGTAGAAAAATGTATGTTCTGATAGAGCTAAGATTAAAAATAATATAATAAAAAAATTATCGGCGAGACTGGTGTGAAATTAAACATTTAAGACATGTTACAAGTAATTTGAAAAATTATAAATTAGATACGTTTAATATTAATAAATTTTTATTGACAGCTAAGATTTTCGGAAACAATTAAAAAAATATCAACCGTAATACTCGGTGTTCAAAATCTAAAGTGTAAATTGAAAATGTTTAAAAAGTGTTAAATGAGGTAGGTACATGACTTAACAGGCCTGTTGGTGGTCGTCTTTGCATAAAAACCGAAACGTTACTTGCGCGCGCATTTTTCGTTATCCACTACAGCGTTTGTACAATAATTCTGTTATCGATTAACTGACACGCACGCGAACGTAAACTAAAGTTCAACGGAAAGTTCTGAAGTTTTACGGTTACACACTGGTTTGTGGTTTTACGCACAGGAGGCCCATACGGATAATAATCGTTCGTGTATACCGAGTGTTAAAATGTAATTACTTCGAAAAACTGCACTTACCGATGGTGGTGAGTACGGAGAGGCAGTACAGAAACGACGTGGCCATGTTCCACTCGAACGCGCTGTCCACCGACTCGACGCCGTGGTCGACGACGATGCCACCACCAGCGCCACTACCGGTGTGATAGCTGACGGCGGCCGATTCGATTTCCATCTGCTGCGTCAGGCGCCGTATCAGGTCCTCCTGGAACCGGTTCAGTTCCTGCGCGGCCAGCCGAGTCCAGTTCTCTCGGTACAGAATGTTCAGGTTGACCGTGATCTCCCATATGGTCTCGACGGTACGCGCGCGGCTCTCCTCGCCCGCGGCCGCAGCTGCCATCCACGCGGCCGTCAGGTTCTGCTGTTGGGCGGGCATCAGGCCGGCCAACTGGACCGGGCCACCGCTATCGTCCATGGTGTCCGCGTCCACGTCGCCCTCAATGCTGAGGAATATCAAAGCGCCGGCGAATGTGTACGACACCAGCAACGCACACACGAACGCGTTACGCAGACAACTCTTGTAGCACTTGCGTTTGGCGTGCGCCACGCGGGCCCGTTCCACGCTATCGTCGTCGCTGTCACAGCAGAAACACCCTTGGCCGTCGTCCACCACCATCACGTTGCCGACCACCGCGGCTGACGATAGCCGGTGGCCACCGTCGTACGACGATGGGTAACCACCTATTGTCGGGCCGCCCGCCACCGTCCCGCCACCACCACCATAGTTGTACGCGGCCGCACCGGTCACCGGTTGCGAGCAACAGGACGACGTCCGATCCATGGCGATGCACCAGCCGGCGTCGCCTTACGCGATCCGGCCGTCAGCCACCGTGCTCTGCGACAACGGCTGTGTTCCAGGTCCCGGTGACGGTGACTTTTGATCGGTGGCAACCGAACATTTCAAAACGAAAGCGTGACAGTTCTGTAAAAAAAAAAAAAAAAATCGAATTGAATTTTAGATAATAATATTAAGTTAACTCCAATAGGACATCGTATCTCAATGATTAGTCCCTACGTTGCAATTGGGTTTCGTTAATTCACCTAACTGATGAAAAACTGTGTATGAAAAACAATATAACTACATCAACCACGGATCGGAGAAAAACAAAAATCAAAAGTAAAAAAACGCGTTGGGAATAGTCTATTGGGTTATGTGTTAAAATTAAACAAACATTAAAGGCTGTTATATACGTTACATGTTAAAATATTGGACGTTTCATTTCCTGCGATGCCAATACTTGAACTGGATACTCAATAGGTATAGAGGGTACAAAGGTACTTCTTAATAGGGAAATAACAAAAAACGATAATGATTAATGGCTTTTTAAAAGAAAAACAAAGACTAGAGATCTAAAAGGTGATTATTTTAATGCGAAGAAAGTTCGGATGTTATAAAGTAAGCCTGTTACTAAGTAAGGAAAAGTATCTCGATTGGTGTTAAAAAACTATTTTTCAGCAATTTGATTACAGCTGAAGTCACTCGTTATGATATAACTAAACGGTAAAATGTAATGTTGATATTTTATTGGCCAAACGATTTATAATTATTATTAATACATTTATTTGTTTTTAAAATTATTAGGTCCCCAAACAATTGTCTAAGAGTCTTAAAGTGCTCCGTGAATGAAATTAAATTTTTCTCGAGGGATAAAAATAAAATAACTGATCTAAAATTAATGGATTAAAATAGGCATTGCCTAAGCAAAGAGGGAAAGAGAAAGAGAGAGAAAGAGAGAGAGAGAGAGAGAGAGAGAGAGAGAGAGAGAGAGAAATATATATAAAATGAGATAAAATCACGGATCCAACAAATTAGAAATTTATTTATAATAAGTTACTTATAACTTTAAAAGTAATAAGTTTAGAATATGATAACGTGGTATAGTTTTTACCATTATTTTAGATTGTTAGCAATAATCTATGTTTTAGTTAAAATAAAGAAAGAAAAAGAGAAGTATAAAAAAAATATAAGAAAATGTATTTTCATATTTTGATATATTTTTCAACCTGATGTAGTACAATGTCATAGTAATTTTAGATAGTTGTAAAAATAGGTCTTTGATAGAATTTAATAGAACATTAATACAATTTTAAGGTTTTATTTTTTAAGAACAATTAGTTTTTAGTGGTTAATTTTAAAAATAAATGTTTTCTGACTGATTATTTCTATAGAAGAACAACAATTAGTTGGATTATTTTATGAAACTTGATATTTAAAAATATTACACATAATATTTAGTTGATTATTGAAAACATAATAGTTATGCGATTGTGTTTTATACTATGTAAATGTAAATTTTTAAATAACCTGACATATTTTATTTTAAGTAATTAAACAAAATTATACAATTTTCAGAAAATATAAATGTATCAATCGATCATCTTTGAATTAATAACTAAAAATAAATGTGTAGGAAAACAATTTAGAATATAAGTTTTGCTGAAACCTTGAAGTTTATTTTTATCATTAATAAAAAAAAAATAAGAGTTGCCAAAGTTCATTCTTATTGTGAAAAATGAGATAAAATGTATTTTAGACGTAAATTACAATTTAGAAACATCTATTATCATGAGCAAGTTATTATTCTACATATTTAAGTAAATGGTTTGTGCCAGAATAATTGTTACAATAGTAAATTCTGTACAACCATAAAAAGTCGAATGGTATTTTGAATTAGAATAATATCTTAAAGGATATACAAAAAATGGTTTAAGATCACAAAGTAAAGACTTGAATATTTAAGAAATAATGTTAATCAAGACGTGCATGATAATGTCGAAATATGAATTATAATGGATATAAAATGTAATTTATGATTTAAAAACAAATGATTTTAAACGATCAAAGTGTAAAAAGGTAAAATTAATTTATTAAACATTATTTGATTTGTATTTCAAGTACACAACATACATTTTTACAGTTAATTATTCATTAATGGTATTTTACTGATTATATTTTCTTCACGGTTATTTGGGATGAAATTTATTTTATCGTATGTACCATAAAAAAATATTTTTGTTTTTAAAATTTTACAAGTATTGAAGCTGTATTGATTTTCAGTTCTGGTATTAAAACGTTAAAAAAATATTACGTTATTAAAAAAAATACAAAATACTTTTTTTATATATATCATTTTTGGTGTTTATAAATAATTTTGGCTACAAAGTATAAACCACTTCATCGAACCTTTTTTTTTTTTTTAATAATTTTTAATGATTTTTCGGCAAATGATTAATTTTTTTACCATTGCGTTCTTTGACCTTTTGGTTTTAAAACCTCAATTTAACTTGTAGGTGATTAATAAGTAGATCGATGTTTAAGTATCCCATCTCATTAAAAATAAAATATCAAAAATATTTTTTTTTCGCAGTAATAATAATTATAATAATAAAAATAAAAAAATCGAAAATATTCATAAAAAGATATTCATGAAATACAAATAATAATATCAATATCAATAATCATACTGAAATACCAGTATAATTATTTATTGTAGACTAACTGTTTAATTAGTGCACAAAGAATTTAACGATGAATTATGTCGTTATATTATACTGATTAAATCGAAATATATTTTATTGTTTATTTATTTGGCAAAACTTAAGCGAATAGCACTTAAAAATAATGCAGTTATCGTGTAAAATTATAACCATGGGTAACCTCATAAACTTAATGGTCGCTCGATGAATTAAAACTTCATGAAATTTGAAGCGCGAAAATTCAAAATTAATTAGGGGAGAAAAATAAAATGATAATATTATAAGATGAAACAGTTTTACATTACATAATTTTGCGTTGTTTTAAGTAGATGAAAAATAAATCTCTTTCGCTTGATAATAAAGACTTTTCGTTCGGGCTTTAAAGTATTTAATTGATTTTAAATATTATACAATCAGATTGTTTAGGTATTAGGTATTTTTATTTTGGATTTTTATTATACAAATGATCGATCGTAGTGTACATTGACTGTACAACTGAATAACCAAAGCGAACACAAACATTGACCGTTAACGCTTTGTATAATGATTATTTTCTGTTCCATTTTTTCATCGGAAATGTTTATATTGTAACATTTCTACAGTAGTGAACAAATGGTTTTCAAATCGTGTACTTTTTTGAAGTAAAAAAAGTTTTGTTTTAGTTCAAAATCGTAGTACAGTTCTTATACACTTCGGAAGTTTTTTTTTTTTTTTATAAATTGCGGCGGGATTTCGAACGAAGAATTTGGTTTAAAAGTTATGTATTATTATACTGCAATCTTACCATCATTATTATATTTATCTTGCATAATATTATAACCGTTTCGTATTCGGGGAAAAAAAAATAAAAATAATAACAATAAAATACGTGACGTAAAAACAAGTGAAATAGAAACAAATGCACGTACATAAAAGCTACACCACGCCGAAACATCCCTCGGGGCATTATTGCGTTCGTCTTTGCTCTTGACTCTTTTTTTTTTTTTATTTTGATTACGGTGCCGCAACAGGAAAAATGTGTTCCTCTCCCCGTGCCATCGGGACATTAACGTGTAACGCATATGTACTAATTCACGGCGGACCGTACGCCCGCCGGTGTACCATATCATTACCTGCGCTATTATTATTGCCGCGCGCTGCCCCCGACGTTATCCGCGACGAACACATACGTCCGAGCGGCAACACCGTCTCCGAAAAGAAGGGCCGGCAGGGACGAACGACGTTCTTCGCGTGCCCGTTCGGAGGGCGTAACTGCCACGCGTTAATCTCCCGGTCGCGTGCGGTTGCTCATCGGCCGTCCGTTCAAGACCGTACCGTCGTTTTGCGGCCGACCTCGCCGACGGGTGCACGACCCTACGCGTTCGTTGCATTCAAAACGACGGTTTACCCCTGACGCCTTTAGGAGGGGGAGAGTTTTTGATTTTTTTTTTTTATTTCTCGTCGCGCAAAATCCGTACCCATCTGGAATTATAGCTGATCGTGCACGTACATCTCGCAATTACGGCTACCCCCGACGACAGTTTCCGGCAGAAATCCCATCCTCGCGCATTGGTCGGTTTCGTCGTTTATAACCGGAGGGCTCAGTGTGAAAACGACTTATTGGCTATTTTCAACTAAGGGAAAAGTTCTTTACGGAACCAACAATTATATTGATTTGTATTGTTTCTCGATTTCGGTGCGAAAGCCAGGCAAATCTCTACGTACCTGATCTTTGGAGTAAACACGTGGCTGAACAGTGAATAATTGTTGTTATAGTAACTTATTGTATTATAGTACAAATTATGTTTTATTTATATATATATATACATGTTACGGCTAGTGTTAAGGGTATGGCTAAACTCAAGTTTAGCCTCTGCGTTTGGCTAATATCTAAATTTCGGACTTTATCCACCAATATTTAACATTATCCAGATATCCAGATGATAATAATGATAATGTCTATATAACATTATCCATACAAATAATTAAACGATTTATGTCATACAAAAATTCTTTCATTTCTTCTCTTATTCAATAATATTTAATAATATCATAGACTATGGAATAATTTTAATAATAATAGAGTCAATAGTCAATGATAATATGACCTATTTTTATCAGATTTATGTAAAATACTTTTTAAAAGTATTTAGAATAAATACTCGAATACTTTTAAAATACTTCTAGTTTTCATACTATAAAAATAATAGATGTCCACTCAACAGAAATATTTGAAATTGTAGACTAAATATATGTTATTTTATTGTACTTTTATAATACATAACTGTTATAGTTTATGGATTACAATAATAATAAATACCTGATATTAGCTACAAGATACGACGAATAA